TTGAGTGGAAATCATGCTGATGTTGTAAAAACTATGAATAATAATGAGGTAAAAAAATCAAAAGATACGCATGACGCATATGGGAAAGTTATTGATTCCATGCAGACCAACTATAACAAGAGGTTGCAAAGTCAGGATGATTTGATCAAGATGCTGGCCGTTAGTAATATTAATGTAACAAATAAGTTGCTAAACCATGTAACTAGTACTAGTAAGGCAAAAAGTGCTTCAGGGGATAATATGGTAAATCAGTTGTTGAGTCATTTGATGAATAGTAATAATAATAATAAATCAAAAAAAAATGATTTAAACAAATTTAAGAAAACTTTAAAACTTTTGAATAAGGAGCAAACACAGGTATTGCTCAAAAAGATTGATAGTTTAGAGGTAAAGAATAGCGATCCTGAATTGTATAAAATGATTCTTGAGAATATAAAGCTTTGAGTTTTTTCTAAAATAAAAAGTATAAATACCCAGTTGGTTATTATTTCTTGCTAAAAAACAAATGTCTAATTTTCTCTTGTACGTTAGCTATATTAATTTCAATATCTGCTGTTTACTTTTTATTTTTATTGCATCTGTTATGCTCTATCGACTTTGCAATAGCGAGGTGATTGATTTCTTGTATATCTTAAAAAGCTACTTTACACTTTTAGCCGTAAATATTCGTTTAACAATCCAGGAAGCCATTAAGGCATTAGACACTTATGACTATAAAACTATTTAAATCTGGCATGTACAAAGAGCAAAAAAGTAACCAAGAAGAAAGGTTCAACACCTAAGAAATCACAACAAACTAAACCTATAAAAAAAACAAAGATAACAAAAAAATAGTTACCGGTAAAAAGAACCTCCAAGGCTCATTTTTCTAGCACTTGTTGTAGTAAAAATATATTATAAGCAAATGAAAAGTTGCGTCGTTGCTAGAACCTGAGCCAAAACCTAAAAAGGTTTGTTCAATTGGAGTATGCATAGTTGGCGATGAATCATCATATAATGCGTGCAAGCAAACTCGACCTTCCAATTCAAAGGTTGATCAAATAAATTTGGGT